AAAAAAAAAAAAAAAAAAAAGAATTCAGCACTGAAGCAGTTTCACTAGTGGTCTCAGACGTCTGGACCCCTAATGTATAACTTTTCTCCCTCCCTCCGTTTCCTCTGGTACTCTTACCAAGCAGTTGATTCACACGGTTCATCCAGCCGAAGATGTGGAGTGCGTGGTTCTCTTCAGCGCTGAGATCGGGAATGTTGGGTGGTCTATCAGACTCCTGCAGCACTCGGCTCGGCAGAGGAGCCATGTACTTCTCGATGTTGGTGTGGAAATGAGCAACTGCTACATATGCTGCCGAGTTGAGCCAGCCCTGTCCAAAGCGCACCTCAGGAGACGAGTACAACTTCTGCACAGAGTTAAAGAAGCCTTATTACAACATAAGGCACCTACCAAACTGAGGCTGGAAGAATATCCACACATATTTGGATAAAGGGAATGGCATGATGTCATTGAGCAACAGTTTGAATGCTTTATTAAGGTTTAGGGGGCAAACACTTTTTCACACAGGGCCATGTAGTTTTGGATTGTTTTCCCTTAATAATAAAAACCTTCATTTAAAAACTGCATGTTGTGTTCACTTGTGTTATCTTTTACTAATATTTAAATTTGTTTGATGATCTGAAACATTAAAGTGTGACAAACATGCAAAAAAATAAAAAATCAGGAACACTTTTTCACACTACTGTATACAGTATATATGGACCTTTCACTGCAGGCCAAGGAGGCGGTTTGTAGAGATGCCTCTTCTGCTGCCCACAGCAGTCCCAGGATCTTGTCCTTGTTGAAATCTGTGTCGTCAGAGTTACTGATCTGCTGCAAAGACTATAGAGGAACACAGAAAAGAGTAATAGTGAGCAAAAAAAAAAAAAAATTTCTCTTTGCTTAATTGATGATATGCTCTTGAATTAGCGTTACAAGTTTGAAAATCTTTGGTACATGGTCAGTATCACAAGTTTGCTTACATCTAGTTACTGACCTGGAGATAGTGAATTTAGTATTCTTCATTTTATGTCAAAGATATTGATTTGTCATTGATCTGCAATGTCGTCACAGACTTTCTGAGCCCACTATGTATAGGTGCTGTGACTGGATGCCATTGGTTTTTCACCATTTTTATAGTCAAATTATAATTTTTTTTTTTTTTTTACACATGGGGAGTTCACAGAGTTTACGTAGTCTTGTGGTGTGTGCGCAAATATTCCATGTGTGGCAAGAAATGGTCAGGAGTTTGAAAATTACCAATAATAAAGAAACCACGACTACGCCACCCGGAATACACCGGGACATAACAGCCCTAAACAAAGGGACACAGGTTCGTTGCCAAAGGCAGGGTTAGCACAATGTTAAACAGATAAACAAAAGTCACTTTATTAACATACAATTGATAACATACAACACTTCACACCAGGGGCCCGTTCTTCGTACGTCGCTTATTACA